GCTACCACTTGAGCCACAGCACTACTTCGGCTTTTTTTTTTCTGCTTATGTGGTGCTGAGGAATCGAACCCAGGGCCTCATGCATGCAAGGCAAGCACTCTACCACTGAGCCACCTTCTCAGCCCCTCTTCCTTTTTTTTTTATTGCTATGTTTTTGAGATAGTTTCACTATGTAAGTCTAGGCTGGCTTTGGACTTGTGATTATTCTGCTTCAGCCTCCCAAATGCTGTAATTATGTAATTTCTGGTATATGCTACCCCACTTGACTTAAAAAAAAAAAATAGTGCTAGGGACTGAACTCAGGTTTTCTGTCACATGCCTGGCAAGTACTCTGCCACTGAGCTATACCTTCATTCTTTGATATTTAAAAGAATATAGGATAGTTATTTTGTAGGACATCCCTGTGTTTTGTTTTCTGCTCTTTCCTCATGATTAAATTCAGATACACACACACATAATTTTTTTTTTTTTTTTTTTGCCAGTCCTGGGGCTTGAACTCAGGGCCTGGGTACTGCCTGAGTTTTTTCCAGGCTAGCAATCTACCACTTGAGCCACAGTACTACTTCCAGCTTTTTCTGTTTTATGTGGTACTGAGGAATCAAACCCAGGGCTTCCTGTATGCTAGACAAACACTCTACCACTAAGCCACATTTCCGGCCCCTTATATATTTTTTATCAGGAATCTGCAAAGAAGATGTATCTTTTTGGTGTAGCACATCAGGAGATGGATATTATCCCCAGCTTGGTGATAGTAACTTTCATCACTCGGTTAATGTGATACTTTTCTGGGATTTTCTATATAAATGTACATTTTCCACAATAGGTATTTTGATGATGTAAAAAATGTCTTGTCCACTCTTCACCTACTTGTTCTAATATCCATCCTGTGAATGGAGTATTATTATGATTATTTAACTCAACTCATTCTGCTTAGGCTTTCACCTAGACACTTCACCAAAGCAACCATTTCTGTATATATGGTAACTTTTTTTTTTTTTTTGGATCATGGGGCCTGGGTGCTGTTCCTTAGCTCTTCAGCTCAAGGCTAGCGCTCTGCCACTTGAGCCAGTGTCACTTCCAGTTTTCTGGTGGTTTATTGGAGATCAGAGTCTCATGGACTTTGCTGCCGGTGCTGGCTTTGAACCATGATCCTCAGATCTCAGCTTCCTGAGAAGCTAGGATTACAGGTGTGAGCCACCAGCACCTGGCCTTTAAGTAGTCTTTTAAGAGCACACTTCCCCTACTCTTTCTTCTCCTTTTCTCTGCTTTTCCTGTAGTACCTAGCACCACCTAACATCCTATTTGCAGAGTAAGTGTTCTTTATTTGAAATGCCTCAGACAGTTGTTATGAATTTGAACTTTTAGATTTTGGAATATATGCAAATGAGATGTCTTGAGAATAGTATTCAAGACTAAACATGAACTTCATTTTTGTTTCTTCATATATACCATATATTTATCGCCTAAAGGAAGTTTTCTATACTGCTTCTCAGTTCTATGCTCAGAACAAGTTTGAATACACAAAACTCTTACTATTTTAGGTGTGAAGAAACAGAAGCAGTTGTGGGACTAGCAAGTGGCTCCTCTAAGAATAAGAAGGTGAATTTTTCAGATAGTCCTCCAGTCCTTAACTATTTTTTTTTGAAGTCTCCCTTCCTTTTTTTTTTTTATTGTGAACATACTGTACAGAGGGGTTACAATTACATGGGCAAGATAATGAGTACATTTCTTATCAAGCATTGTAGCCTCCTCCTTTGTTTCCCCTTCCCATCCTCCCCCTGTCCCCCCCATCCTTCCCCCCTTCATTTTTATCAAACACAATTTCTTACTCTGTTATGTATGCATGCTGCTGTCTAGTTCCTTTTCTAGTAGTCCCTTTACACACCTTCTCCGTGTCCTTTATGGTCACTTCTACAATGTTAAGTCTATCCTTGTCTCTTCTATCATGCCTTTCTTTTTCTTTCTGATATTTTAGACAATATCTTTATATCACAGAACAGACAAGAAGGAACAACCCATAGTGAGCAATGCATATAGGTCTTGGCCTCCTGTGAGACGTTGAGGAGGATCTCCTGTACCTGCATTTTATTATCCTTTGTGAACAGGCTTGTATGTGTTTAGGAATTCTGGGCTTTCAGTAAGGATACATGACCACTAGGGGGAGCTAAGAGGATCTTTTTTTTTTTCTGGGAGATGCTGAACAATTTGTTAGGCACCTATATATATCTTTTTTTTTTTCAAATTTTTTATTGTGATTAAGTGGTTACATAATTTCCTAAATTTCACAGTATTGTGGGATAGTGATGCTTAGTTAAAGTCACAAACACATTCTAATTTCACGGAGCAAATTGTTTATCATGGTCTATAACATTTATGAGTTCTTTTTTTTTTTTTTTTTTTGGGTCCAGTCATGGGGCCTGAACTCTGGGCCTGGGCGCTGTCCCTCAGCTCTTCAGCTCAAGGCTAGCGCTCTACCACTTGAGCCACAGCGCCACTTCCGGCTTTTTTTTTTTTTTCATTTTGCTTATGTGGTGCTGAGGAATCAAACCCAGGGCCTCAGGCATGCAAGGCAAGCGCTCTACCACTGAGCCATCTTCCCAGCCCCAACATTTATGAGTTCTATGAGCTTTGCAATACAGTTATTTCTTCCAGATTGGGTGATATGTACATTTGTTTTGCATAGCATCAGCTGTTCCCTCTTTCCCACTTGTTCCCTCCCTCCCTCCCATCACTGCCATTGAGTTGCTTATTTCATTTTTTTTATTTTTATTTTTGTCAGTCATTGGGCTTGAACTCTGGGCCTGAGTGCTGTCTCCCAGCTCTTCAGCTCAAGGTGAGCGCTCTACCACTTGAGATACAGTGCCACTTCCGGTTTTTCTGAGTGTTTATTGGAGATACTAGTTTCATGGACTTTCCTGCCCGGGCTGGCTTTGAACCTCGATCCTCAGATCTCAGCTTCCTGAGTAGCTAGGATTACAGGCGTGAGCCGTTAGCACTTGGTGCTTAATTCATTTTGATTAATGTCCAGTGCAGCTGATGGGTCCCGCTGTTGTATGTTTTTCCCTGATTCCCTCTAGTTCTGTGTTGTCCTCCTGGTTTCCCTCCGGTGTGCACATACATACCATATATGTGATCAGCAGCATGGGGTTATTTAGTAGTGATTCGACCAGATGAGTGGAAGTCCTTTGTTTCTTAAGTCTTGTTAATTTTGTCGTATCACCTTACTTTTTGGATTTAACATCCACTTATCAGGGAGACCATGTGCCATTTGTCTCTTTGCTCTTGGCTTACCTTGCTCAACATGATTGATTTCTTCTAGCTCCATCCATTTCCCTGCAAATGCCATTATTTTGTCCTTTCTAATGGCTGCATAATATTCCATTGTGTATAGATACCACAATTTTGGATCCATTCATCTGTGGTGGGACATCTGGGTTGTTTCCGTATCCTGGCTATTGTGAACAGTAGGGTTTTCCATTTGTGTCATGTCACCTCAAAACATTTTGGATTTTGAAGTATTTTGGATATTCTATATCTCATTAATTTTTGTTTCCTCTAACTAAAAAATAAACTACCAGAAACCTAAAATAATATCTATCTCATCTGAAGTAGATGTTAAATAAATGAACGTTTCCATCTATCAGAGTAGGGACCTTATTATTATTATTATTATTATTACTATTATTATTTTTTTTTTAGTCACCTGTGCTTTTTCCTTCACCTGACCAAATGAGTAAGGTTGTAATGTATGTTTAGGAAGAATGAGTACACATACCCTGAATCTCAGAGATTCAGGTCCCTTGAGAGGAGTCTGGCCCTTCAGGAGGTGGCGAAGGATAATTAAAGAAACACAATGCAGCTGGGTGCCAGTGGCTCACACCTGTAATCCTAGTTACTTAGGAGGCTGACATCTGAGGATTACGGTTCAAAGCCAGCCTGGGCAGGACAGTCTGTGAGACTCTTTTTTGTTGTTTGTTTGTTTGTTTTTTCGGTCATGGGGCTTGAACTCTGGGCCTGGGCGCTGTCCCTCAGCTCTTCAGCTCAAGGCGAGCGCTCTACCACTTGAGCTACAGCGCCACTTCCCATGAGATTCTTATATCCAATAAACCACTAGAAAACTGGAAAACCGGAAGTGGTGCGATGGCTCAAGCTGTAGAGCGCTTGCCTTGAGCTGAAGAACACAGGGAACAGCGCCCAAGCCCAGAGTTCAAGCCCCACAACCGACCAAAAAAAAAACCAACACAATGCGAGGAAAGGGATGGATTGGAAGGAAGACTGACTAGGTCTGTTGGTGCTCTTAGCAGCTCTAAGAACAGGAGGAAGAGGTGATGTTTGGGATTAAAGAAGATTAGCAGATCAGAGTCAACATACCAAGCACCATGAAAGAAGCCTATGTACATGCCTATCTATTTGTGGATATGTCTGTGCTAGGTGTTCTCCAGGGAGGTCCAGGTCAAGCAGATCCATTATTGAAGTGGGGGGGGGGGGCTGGCGGGGAGCTGGGGGGGTGTTGGGGGGCGGAATATTAGTTCTGGTTTGGATAGGGTATGGGGGCAAGGGTCAGACAAGAGAACTTTAAGAAGCCAGACGCTGGTGACTCACGCCTGTAATCCTAGCTACTCAGGAGGCTGAGATCTGAGGATTGCGGTTCAAAGCCAGCCCGGGCAGGAAAGACTGTGAGACTCCTATCTCCAATAAACCACCAGAAAACCGGAAGTGGCGCTGTAGCTCAAGTGGTAGAGCGCTCGCCTTGAGCTGAAGAGCTGAGGGGCAGCGCCTAGGCCCAGAGTTCAAGCCCCACGACCGACCCCCCCCCCCCCCAAAAAAATAAGAGAACTTTAGGAAAGGTTACTATGATACAGGCTATTGCCTCTAAAGGGATGGTCTTTTAGTTTCGAGAAGATGTAACTATGGAAGAGCTGGGACAGAGAAAGGATTGGAGGTTGTCCTTCATCTTTGATGACCTTGCCTGACTCACTCCATTGCTTTCTTTTCTCCAGAACCTTTCAGCTCTTGGGACATTGGTGAGTCTCAGTAATGCACATCTTGGTTCTATGAGAACTCGGTAAGTTTTTAACCCTGTTTTTTCTTCAGGGGGATGTTCCCTTAGGAAGTGGGCTGCCTGTACATCTGTCGTTCCATTGTCACCCTCGTGGATTCAAGAGATTTCTCCATTCCCAAGAGGATGGGGAGTTTCATTCTTTTTGTGAGTTCACTTGAGTTGAACCCACTCTTCCCAGCTTCCAAGTTTCCTATTTCCCATCTGAGACTGTCTCTGCTTCCTTCTTTCCTGGTTGTCCACACCTCACCTGACACTCCAAGTCAGGAGGTAGAAACCGTAGTTAGTTTTGAGATGAGGTTTTGTTATGTAGCCCAGTGAGAATGAAATAGCAGTCATAGGTTGCTCCAAAGTCTCACCTCCTCTCATTTGTTATCACTCTCTCCTTGCTTCTAAGGTTTGAGGGCCTGTGTCTGCTGTCCCTGCTGGTAGGGGAGAGCCCCACAGAGTTTTTCCAGCAGCACTGTGTGTCTTGGCTTCGGTGCATTCAGCATGTATTGCAGGTAAGGGGTCAAACACCTTCCTTCTCCTAACCATGCAATCCTCCATGCTGGGTCTGGTAGTTTTTTTGTAGTTTGGACAGTTTTTACTCTGGGAACAGAACGATTTAGAAACAATTTCTGATAATGAGGTAAACTTCAACAGAGGCATTCTTTTAAACTTTTTATTTTTATTTTATTTTTTGTCTGTCATGGGGCTTGAACTCTGGGCCTGGGCACTGTCCCTCAGCTCTTCAGCTCAAGGCTAGTGCTCTACCATTTGAGCTAGAGTGCTACTTCCAGTTTTCTGGTGGTTTATTGGAGATAAGAGTCTCATGGACTTTCCTACCTGGGCTGGCTTTGAACCGTGATCCTCAGATCTCAGCCTCCTGAGTAGCTAGGATTACAGGCATGAGCTACCGGAGCCCGGCTAAACTTTTTAATTTTTTAACTTTAATTTTTTATTTTTTTGCCAGTTCTGGGACTTGAACTCACAGCCTTGCCACTGTCCCTGAGCTGCTTTTGCTCAAGGCTAGCACTCTACCACTTGAGCCACAGTACTACTTCCAGCCTTTTCTGTTTATGTGGTGCTGAGGAATCGAACCCAGGGCTTCATGTATGCAATCACTCTACCACTAAGCCACATTCCCAGCCCACTTTTTAATATTTTTGTCTCAACTTATTTTAACTGATCTGACCTTTCACATACTAAATTGATAGTTTTATTTATTCATTAGCTTTGCTAAGGCATGCATTTCTTTTTTTTTTTTTTTTTAACATTTTATTATTTAATAGTTGTACAAGGAGGTCACAATTCCATCAATGGGGTTATGAGTACAGTGCATCTGGATCAATGGCACTCCTTCCATTGTTCTCACCTATTTTTCCCTTCTCCTATCCCTACCCTCAAGTTACATAGTTCAAATTTTACATAATGTACACTGAAAAAAGTGCATTTAAAAAATCTGTTTTGTAAATCAGAACACCTACAAGTTTTGCTTCCCCTTCCCCTTACCATTCCTCAAGCTTCAGACTACCCTGTTTGTATAAATAATCCTAAACCTTACCCATGGGCAGGTAGATTTCTTTCTTTTTTAAAAAAATTTAAGTAGTTGTGTAAGGAAGTTCTCATTCTAGGGGCTGGGAAGGTGGCTCAGTGGTAGAGCACTTGCCTTGCATGCTCAAGGCCCTGGGTTTGATTCCTCAGCACCACATAAGAAAAAAAAGCCGGAAGTGCTGCTGTGGCTCAAGTAGTAGAGCGCTAGCCTTGAGCTGAAGAGCTGAGGGACAGCACCCAGGCCCAGAGTTCAGGCCCCATGACCGGACACCAAAAAAAAAAAAAAAAGTTCCCATTCTACAAAGCAGTATATGAGTACAAAGTGTCTGACAACATTGTCACCTATCTCTCCTAAACCATCCCTTCTCTCACTTTTTTCTTTAATTGAGATTAGGTGATTACATAAATTTCTCGTATTTCACAGTATTGTGGAATAGTGATGCTTAGTTAAAGTCACAAAACACATTTTTTTTGGGCGCTTTTTGATGGAAGGCATCATTTGGGAAGTAAGTCACACCTCCACTTCTGACATTGCTGGTTACTTGAAGATAAGAGTCTCATGGACTTTTCTGCCCTGGTTGGCTTTGGATCATGATCTTCAGATCCTAAACTCCTGAATAGCTAGAATTGGCATGAGTTGCCAGGGCTCGGCTTGTATATTGTTTTCTTTCTTTCTTTTTGGGCCAGTCCTAGGGCTTGAACTCAGGTCTTGAGTGCTGTCCCGTTCTTTGTGCTCAAGGCTAGTGTTCTAGCCTTGAACTTGAGCCACAGGGCCACTTCTAGCTTTTTCTGAGTAGTTTATTGAAGATAAGAGTCTCATGGACTTCTCTGTCAGGGCTGGCTTTGAACCTCCATCCTCAGATCTCAGCCTCCTGAGTAGCTGGTATTACAGCTATAAGCTACCGGCTCCTGGTTTGTATATTGTTTCTACTGCTTAAAAAAAATGTAAAAATGGGGGCTGGGAAGGTGGCTCAGTGGTAAAGTGCTTGCCTTGCATGCATGGGTTCAATTCCTCAGCACCATATAAATAGTAAAAGCCAGAAGTGGCACTGTGGCTCAAGTGGTAGAGCGCTAGCCTTGAGTTGAAGAGCTAAGGGACAATGCCCAGGCCCAGAGTTCAAGCCCCACGACCAACCAAAAAAAATAAAAAATAAAAAAGTAAGTTGTGTAAGTAAGCGAGCACTCTACCACTTGAGCCACAGTGCCACTTCCTGTTTCCTGATGGTTTATTGGGAGATCAGAGTCTCACAGATTTTGCTGCCTAAGCTGGCTTTGAACTGCCATCCTCAGATCTCAGCCTCCTGAGTAGCTAGGCTTATGGGTGTGAGCCATTGGCACCCGGCTCTTTTTTTTTTTTAAGTACACAGTGGGAACTTAAGTTCATATGGTTTATAAGGGGAGCATCTTAGGCATTTACAGTTGAAGCCGAGGATAAGGATGAGATTACTAAAGTGAGTCCTTACTGTTTGGATGGAGCGTGCCGGCACGTGTGTGTGTGTGTGCGCGCGCGTGCGCGTGCGTGCGTGCGTGTGTGTGTGTGTGTGTGTGTGTGTGTGTGTGTGTGTCTGTGCATGCTGAGCTTTTTAGCTCAAGGCTGGCACTCTCCCACTTCCAGCTTTTCGGTGGTTATTGGTGGTAAGAGTCTCATAGACTATCCTGCCTGGACTGGCTTCAAATTGAGACACTCAGATCTCAGCATCCTGAATAGCTAGGACTACAAGAGTGAGCCACTGGCTCCTGGCTAGACTGAATTTTAAGGCTGAGAGCTGAAGATTGGATCTGATTGGTCAGGTAGAGGAAGGTGCACTTACTAAAGAGATCAAGGCTAACATAGTACTCAGAATTGTGGTCTGGGTGGAATCCGATGGAAGGAGAAAGGATTGGATTGATTCCTGGGGAATCCTTGAGGAAAGAGGGATGAGTTGTTTCTGTTTGTACTTATAAGAGGTGGAAAAAGACAGATCTAGAGTTGTTAATCCTAGTACTAATTTAAGAGTTGTACAGCCAGTCAAAGTGTTTTTTGCTAGAGTATGGTAACTGGAGCTAGAGGATTGAGAAAGGAAGCAAGAGGGACAAGGGGAATGGAAGTAGCAAAGATATGAGATCTTTTTTTTTTTTGGGTCCGGTCGTGGGGCCTGAACTCTGGGCCTGGGCGCTGTCCCTCAACTCTTCAGCTCAAGGCTAGCACTCTACCACTTGAGCCACAGCGCCACTTCTGACTTTTTTCCTTTTGCTTATGTGGTGCTGAGGAATCGAACCGAGGGCCTCATGCATGCAAGGCAAGCGCTCTACCACTGAGCCACCTTCCCAGCCCAGATGTGAGATCTTTTAAAGATTTTTGGATATAATGACAAGGGAAAGAAATAAGGTAATTAAGGGATTTGTTAGGGTAGTATTATGTGAACTCCTGATGAATTCTAAGATGGGAGTGTGTTGGGAATGTATAAATGTCATTGAGAAGAATGGGATAGGAGAGAGCTTGCTGAAGAATGAGCAGAAGGATAGGAGTAGTATATAAGTCATGGTGGAGGGATTGTCTCCGGATAGAAGGTGTACTTGATTTAGGGAAGGAGAAAGGAAGAAGGTAGCTGAAGATTTTCAGGTTTGGGAGTGCAACACTAAGGCATTTCCTGTCTTTGGACTTCAGTTTTTCCTTTTAAGTTGTAGGCAAGATGTTATAGATCTGATGGTAGGGAAGTTGGGACTTAGAAGTTCAAGGGGCATAGCATTAGCTACCTGTCTTTTTTTTTTTGTTTGTTTTGGTGCTAGTACTAGAACTTGAACTCAGGATCTCAAGTTCTTGCTCAGTTTTTCTGCTCATGTCTGGCAGGCACTCTATCACTTGAACCACACTTCTACTTCCTGCTTTTTTTTTTTTGTCCGTCATGGGGGCTTGAACTCTGAGCCTGGGTGTTGTCCCTGAGCTCTTGCTCAATGCTAATGCTTTACCACTTTGAGCCCTAGCTCCACTTCTAGTTTTCTGGTGGTTAATTGGAGATAATAGTCTTTCATGGCTTTTCCTGCCTGGGCTGGTTTTGAACCTTGAAAATCTCAGCTTCCTGAATGCTAGGATTGTAGGCATGAGCCACCAGTGTCTGGCCTTCCTATTCTTTTTTTTTTTTTTTAACCTACTCTTTTTTTATGTGTATGAGTGTTCAGGTCCTAGGCCTTATTGAGGTCCTGGGTGCTGTCCCTACATCTTTTGCTCAAAGTTAGCATTCTACCACTTCTGTTTTTTTGTTTTGTTTTGGTCGGTTGTGGGGCCTGAACTCTGGGCCTGGGCACTGTCCCTCAGCTCTTCAGCTCAAGGCCAGCACTCTACCACTTGAGACACAGTGCCACTTCCGGCATTTTCTGCTTATGTGGTGCTGAGGAATTGAACCCAGGGCCTCACGCATGCAAGACAAGCACTTCACCACTGAGCCACCTTCCTAGCCCTTCTGTTTTTTTTTGTAGTTAATTGGAGTCTCTTGGACTTTTCATGCCTAGGCTGGCTTGAACCATGATCTTCAGCTTCCAGCCTCCTGGATAGCTAGGATTGTAGGTGGGAGCCACTACCACCAACTACGTCCTGCTTTTTGCTTGATAAGAGTCTCACAGACTTTTTGCCCTGACTGGCTTTGAACCTTGATTTTCAGATTTTAGTCTTTGAGTATTCTTTTTAAATTAAAAAAGTAAATTTTGTTTATATTTTTGAGACAGTCTCCTTATGTTGTCCAGGCTGAACCTAAACTTCTGGGATCAAGTTAGCCTCCTACCTCAGCCTCATGAGTAGTTGGAACTATAAAGGGTAACCAACACACCTGGTTATTTCTTACGGTAATCTCATTCGTTTTGTTGATACATGGCTTTATCTGAAGTAGGAGTTTGGTGCCAAATGTTTTTCTTAATGTAGATATTAACTTTCCAAGTCTTCCTTTTCTGTACTTTTTTTTATTGTAAAGATACAGAGGGGTTACAGTTACATGAGCAAGGTAATGAGTACATTTCCTATCAATCATTGTTGCATTTTTGCCTCCTCTGCCTCCTTTGTTTTTCCCCTACCATCCCTTCTCACCTCCACATATCTATTTCACCCCCGCGACTTTCCAAGTCTTAAATCCACATTATTTTTTTTCTCCATGAAGTCTAGCACAGGTATGAACCCAGCTTAGAAATTTGGGACAGTTTTGTTGTACTTGAGACTTATTTTTGAATCTGAAAAGTGTTCTCCATTTTTACCAGGAAACAATAGTATGGGAGAAAAAAAAACGGAAGTCTTAAGATCTTCCAGTTAGTCAGATCTTTCAATTTGTGACTTGGTTACCTTTTTTCTCAAACAAATTCTTAGGATCCCAGATAACCTTTTATTTAAAAGTTATTTTTATGTCAGGTGTCAGTGGCTCACACCTGGAATCCTAGCTACTCAGATGGCTGAGATCTGAGGATCGCAGTCCAAAGCCAGCTTGGGCAGAAAAGTCTCCCTGAGACCACTCAAAAACTGGAAGTGGCTCAAAGTGGTAGAGTGCTAGTCTTGAGCACAAAAGCTCAGGGACAGTGCCCAGGACCTGAGTTCAAGCCCCACCACTGACTAAAAAATATTGTTCTTATTTTTTGTGGTGCTGGTTCTTAAACCTAATACATACTAGGCCAGCACTATATTATTGGACTACATCCCTATTTCCCCATATATCCTTGTTACTAAAATGTAGACATGTGTCCTTTCTATAGACAGTGCTGATGGTTTTGGGTCTTACATGATTTGTTTTGCCTTTTTTTCTCTAAAGATAGTAGATTGGGTAGTATGGGTATTTCTCAAATGCACTTGTTATACTTCCTCTGCCTGTTATATTTCCTCTGCCTCTTGGTAACATTGATGATGTGGTTGACAGCATGGGCATTGTTGCTTTTAGTCCCAGGACTCACCACCCACTATGGAGTTGGCTGTGGCTGTCCTGAGGGACCTGTTGCGATATGCAGCCCAGCTTCCGACGCTGTTCCGGGACATCTCTACCAACCATCTCCCTGGCCTTCTTACTTCTCTGCTTGGCCTCAGACCAGAGGTGAGAAAGTGATTGGGAAATAACATTGAAGAATGGGAAAGCAAAGGGATCAAGAGGAGATGTGAGGTGAGTTGGAGGAATTTCTGACCACTGGTATTTTTGGCTTCTTGACTTTATGTTTTTCCCACAGTGTGAACATGCAGCTTTGGAGGGAATGAAGGCTTGTATGACCTATTTTCCTCGGGCTTGTGGTTCTCTCAAAGTAAGTACTTATGGCTCAGTTAATGAAAATTGTTACAGTTTACAGGAGAGTTTAATGTGGTTTAATACCAAATCAGGAAAGTGAGGCCTTTTTTTGAGTTTGTCCAGAATAGCCCAGTTGGTCATGAACTTGTGATCTTCCTGCTTCCTGAATGTTAAGATTACAGATGAGCACCACCATTCTTTGCTACAAGTAAGCTCAGTGAAGTGCAAGGGTACTAGTATTTAGTGGCTACCTAGTATGTGTCAGGCCTCTTGCTCAGGGTAGAGGATGTCTTGTTTTATTTTACAATTGTAATTATTCTTTGGAATTGGTGTCCCTGTATTTTAGAGGACGTAGATGTATGCTCACATGGTAGTGCCAGCATTGAGCAAAAAAGTCAACCAAGTGCAGGGTCCTGAGTTCAATCCTGGTTGAATGCATATACATCCTCAAACAAAAACAACAATCTCAAAACATAAAACATTGTATGTATTACTGTCTGGTTCAGGCATCAGCTGGGGGTCTTTGGGGAAGACCACTGTAATTGGTTATGTAGAATATATGAGAAGTCCTCAAGAAGTTGATGTTTCTTAGTGAACATTGGGTAATGTCCTTGCTGATTCTATTGTTACCATGTAAATTACCTTGCCACTGCTAGTAGAAACTTTGAGATGGCAGGACTAACTACTGTTCCTGGCCCAAGACAGGACTTTTTATTGAGAAAGTATCTGGAGTTTGGAATAACTTAAATGGTTAGTAAAGCTATTTTTTTGTTGTTGTTAGCGAAAACTACTTGTCTTCTAAAAAATTTTTTTTGTGTGTGTGAGTGCGCGCACGTGTGTGCATGCCAGTCCTGTGTCATGTCTCAGGGCCTGGGAGATTCTATTTCTTAAGGCTAGCAGTCTACCACTTGAGTCACAGCACTACTTCCTGTTTTTTCTTAGAGATGACAGTCTCACAGACTTGCTCCCTGGGCTGGTTTTGAACCACAATCCTCAGATCTCATGTTCTTGTGAGTAGGTAGGATTATAAGCATAAGTCACTAGTGCCTGGCTTATAAAATGTTTTGTAAGGTAAATTTTCAAGTGCACATAGTAGCAGTTTGTCCCCAACCAATGTTTGTGAGGTGTTACTGCAAATGTCTTGTTTTTATTCATTAGTTCTATTTAGTGTTTCTGTCCACCTGTGAAAGTGGAGAGAACATTTAGTGACACCTATAGGGTGGAATTGTGAATCATCACGGGTACTAGAATGCCTGCTGTTCTTTTTTGGTTGTCTCTTAGCTTTTAGGGTGAGCGTTTAGAAAATTCAGTTGTAATTCACAGCCTTGTGTCATTGTAGATTTTGGAGTTACAGCCTGTATTTTGAGTACCTTTTCCAAACCAAACAAGTATTCATGCCTTATTTCAGGTTATGTCTGCCTTTCTGTCTCTAAGAACTTAGTTTCATCTGTGTTGAAGATTCTGGCTTTGTCTGTTGCAAACACCTTAGATAATCTGTTCTGTAGAAAAGCCCCAGGTGCCGTCTGTAGTCTGTACTTCGGACATCTTAGTAACTCACCATTGCCATTTTAAAATAGTAGTTTTCTGTCCCATCCTCCAGATGCTCCCAGGGCATTTGTAGTCTCCAGCCTCAGGGTTATTCTTCCTGAGATGATGTGTCTCAAGCTTTCTGAGTCCCTGTAGTCAGACCCTGCGGAAACTTTACTTGCCAGATTGATTAGTAGTTTCTTAGAATGAATGGAAAGACCATCATTCCCACTCTTAAGAGATGCCCAGGACATACTGTACATGTGTGCAATGTTTTGAGGGAAATGTTTGCTTTGTGGGCCAGCCAGGAGAAACCTTGCGATTGGAGCCATGTTGCTTCATTTCATTGTACTCATAGTAACACAATCTGATTTCTTTTGGCTTCAGCCTGGCTTTTTGAACCAAGACCTCAGGGAAAGCCTTAGCAGCAGATTGGCAAAAACACCTCTAGTTGAGGTGTTGGTATTTAAGTTTTATCTTTCTTGGATTCAAAGGTCTTGAATCAGAAGCTCTTGAGTGGGAACTCCATGGTTGGGAATATTCTGGAATTCTGTCAAAGCTTTCTAAGTCCAAAGGGAATGTGAGAAACTTCATCTGGCTCCTACCTGCAGGTAGATAGAAGAGAGTCTTTGGAAGACAGGTTTCTGAACCACCTGCTGGCAGGAGCTCTGCCTCTTGCCTGGTGCCATGGTTAATTTGTCTTATAAAAATTCACTTTTGTGCATATGATGCTGCCAAATCCCAGGATAAAGCCAGTACTTCATTCTCAGCATGAGTATGAAGGCCCCAGTAGGGAAGTCTGAGAGATTCTTATCTCCAATTAACCACCAGAAAACTGATAGTGGTGTAGCCTTGAGCAAAAATGCTCAGGTAGCTCTCAGGTCCCAAGTTCAAGCCCCATGACCAACAACAAAAAGAAAATGCATGGAATAGCAAAGAAACCTTTTGTGTTTAAAATATAAATATCAACATGGTAGCCAGGTATAATGTCTCATGACTATCATCTCAGGTACTGGGCAAAAATGCAAGACTGAAAAGTAACATACACACACACAAAAAGAAGAGCTGTGTTTTTACTCAAGTGGGAAAATTTCCTCCCCAATCAAAGTAGTTAAAGAATTAAGGTAGAATAGAATAAGGTATTATTTTAATGCAGAATATTTCTGGGTGCTAGGAGTTGGAATGCAGAGCCTTAAGCTTACAAGGCAGCAGGCACTGTATTTCTTGAACTACATACCTCAAGCTCCCTTTTACCTTGTTTATTTTTGAGGTAGTGTCTTGCTTTATGCCCAAGCCATCCTAGTCTGCAATCCTCCTGCTGTGTTTCCTGACATATGACAAGCATATGTCACTGTGCCCAGCATTGGGTTTCCTCTGTAGCTGGGATTACATATAAATGTCACTGCACCTAGTCATTGAGATGGGACTCTTAGATACTATTTTGCACAGGCTGGCCTTGAACTTTCGTTTCTCAATCTTCCCCTCCCAAGTAGTTTGGATTATAGGCTTAAGCCTGGCTTATTGTACAATCTTTTTTTTTTTGGGGGGTGGGGGTCCGGTCATGGGGCCTGAACTCTGGGCCTGGGCACTGTCCTTCAGCTCTTCAAGCCAAGGCTAGCGCTCTACCACTTGAGCCACAGTGCCACTTGCGACTTTTTTTCTTTTTGCTTTTGTGGTGCTGAGGAATCAAACCCAGGGCCTCAGGCATGCAAGGCCAGCGCTCTACCACTGAGCCACCTTCCCAGCCCCTTATTGTACAGTCTTTAATGTGGAAAGTGTTCCTTCGATGATTGGTGAGACACAGGGAACTAGAGAAATAAAGGTCCTACAAGGACCTGCATTTTAGGCATGATTGACATGCTTGGAAACCATATACACAGATGAGCGAGTGTGAGGAGGGAGGCACATATACCCAGACCCAAGGGCCATCACTTTTTAAAATTTAAAAAAAATTTTTTTATTGTAAAGGTACTGTACAGAGGTGTTACAGTTACATGAGTAAGGTAATGAGTACAGTTCCTATGGAGCATTGTTACCCCCTCCTTTGTTTTCCCCCTACCATCTCTTCCCTCCCCACCTTCCCCAATTTCCTCCCACCCCCCAAGTTGTAAAGTTTGTTTTCAACATAGTGTCTGTACATCTCATTGTTAGAATGGATCAACCTATATCCTTGTTTCAGCATTTTGTTATTTCCCCTCTGGCCAACACTTTCATTGGCTCTAGAGTATTGCCAACTAGGTGTCCTTTAGGCAAGTTCTAACTGAAGCAGCAGTTAGTCAGCAGGAGGTCCTGCTGAGAGGCAGTCTTGTGGTATTTTTTTATAGTTTGTGCAAGCTATGAGAAACCCTTAGGTCAAGTCAGCTGGATCTAGGGAGCTGGTCACCAGGAAGAGGTTCTGTAAGGTATATATGTCTGGATTGCTCACAGGAAAGAATGAAAGAACAGAGAGAACTAGAAACTTCCCAACTTAAGTTCACACTGGATGCTGAAGTAATTTAGACTTATAAGAATTCACTACAAGGGCTAGGAAGGTGGCTCAGTGGTAGAGCACTTGGCTTGCATGCATGAGGCCCTGGGTTCGATTCCTCAGCACCACATAAGCATTAAAAAAAAAGCCAGAAGTGGTGCTGTGACTCAAGTGGTAGAATGCTAGCCTTGAGCTGAAGAGCTGAGGGACAGCACCCAGGCCCAGAGTTCAGGCCCCACGACCAACCCCACAAAAAAGAATTCACTACAAGTATAGAGGCAGATCTTTGTACTACCGGAATTTCAATTATAATTGAGGGACACACTACAATTTTACTTATAAGTTAGTGTAAATAATATGTATTTTTTCCGTATCTGTGTTGACGACTCAAATAAATTATGGCCTTTGGGCTGAATACTTTTATTCCAGGGCCTTCTCATAGCAGGCAAAGAGGTTTGTTTACTAACTGTGACAGGTTGTCATTCTGAAATTGGCTGCTTTCACTCTGCTCTTCCAGCCTGTCCTTTTCTATCTCCTGCCCTCATGCTTGTGGACAATGCTACTTTCCCATGTTGGATCCTCGTGTGTGTGTGTGTGTGTGTGTGTGTGTGTGTGTGTATGTGTGTGTGTGTGTGTGTGTGCGCGCGCGCGTGTGTGTGCGTGTGCGTGCGTGCGTGCGTGCGCGCGTGCGCGCGCACACATGCACTGGTCGTGGGCTTGAACTCTGGGCCTGGGCACTGTCCCTCAACTCTTCAGCTAAAGGCCAGCACTCTATCACTTGAGCCACAGTGTCACTTCTGGTTTTCTGGTGGTTAATTGGAGATAAGAGTCTCATGGACTTTCTTGCCCGGGCTGGCTTTGAACTGTGATTCTTAGATCTCAGCCTCCTAAAAAGCTAGGCTTATAGGTGTGAGCCACTGATGTCTGGCTTGGACCCTCATTTTGAGTCAAAGGCAGTAGAGCTAGGAGTGTGGTGATTATTGTTTTTTAAGACTTCATTCTGAGAAAGATGACTTTCATAAGAATTGGTAAGGGGCCGGGAAGGTGGCTCAGTGGTAGACCATAGAGCGCTTGCCTTGCATGCCTGAGGCCCTGGGTTCAATTCCTCAGCACCGCATAAACAGAAAAAAAAAGCCGGAAGTGGCGCTGTGGCTCAAGTGGTAGAGTGCTAGCCTTGAGCTGAAGAGCTGAGGGACAGTGCCCAGGCCCAGAGTTCAGGCCCCACAACCGGACCCCCCCAAAAAAAAAAAAAATAAATAAAAAAGAATTGGTAAGAGGGACCTAAATTATCTGTGGGTAGAGGCCAGACCTTTTTCTCCAGAGAGAAGTCTAAGGACCAGTCAGAAGTGATGTGTAGGATATCTTTGTACTATGAAAGCATGTTTAGATCTTGCCAATGCTGCTGCCCTGTGGAAATATTGTGCTTCATTTCTGTAGGAAAGGAAAAAAGACAAGAGTGGAGAGTTTGTTGCTAGGAACAAATGGGTATACATCTTTGGCTCCCAGAGCTGCCTTGTAACTTCTTTCTCCCTCCTCCAGGGCAAGCTGGCCTCCTTTTTCTTGTCTCGTGTGGATGCCTTGAGCCCCCAGCTTCAGCAGGTAATGGGAAAGGAGAGAAGTGTATGGCCTAGAAATCTGAGCCTGGGTCATCTTTTGTGGCTCATTCTTAGTTTTTATCTGTTACAGCTTTTGAACCCAGTTCTCACTTCTTCCCTGCTGATATAAGTCCAGACTTTTGCTTCCTGTGCCCATCTAGACCTTTCTTTCTCATTGTCCTTTCAGCTCCCTTTGGTCTCCATCTTTCTTGGACATTAGTAGGGTGGGGACCCTGTGGCTGGGCTAGTTTGTTTCTAACCAGCCTTCTGTCCTTCCTTCTGCAGCTGGCCTGCGAGTGTTACTCCAGGCTGCCCTCCTTAGGGGCTGGCTTTTCCCAGGGCCTGAAGCACACTGAGAACTGGGAGCAGGAGCTGCACAGCCTGCTGACCTCCCTGCACAGCTTGCTAGGGGCCCTGTATGAGGGATCTGAAACAGGTGGGGACTGGGTTTGGGAATCAGTAGGACAAGGGTTGTGAAATTTGGCAGGAGGGAGCAGGATGCTGGCCCAGGAAATGGGTTTCTGGGCAAAATGGATGAGAACATAGTCAGGACATTTACTACACGTAAAAAATGAGGAAATGGAAGAAAGATAGATGTACAAGGAAATTGTGTTGCTGCTTAGCTCCTGTGCAGAGTGAAGACTCTGGAATGGAGACGCTGCTTTCCCACTTAGATGATGTCGACACCCATGCCCTCTTCCGTCTTCAGCAGAGGTTTTCAGGACTGGCCCATTGTATGGCACTCATGCTCAGGTATGTTGGTGTTGGAGGGAGTTGGCACAGAAGTTAAAATGAGTATGGGGGGAGGGGCCGCTACACTGGTCTTCTTGCTCTGATTCTCTGTAGCTCTGAGTTTGGGGCTCCTGTGTCTGTGCCTGTTCAGGAAGTCCTGGATCTCATCTGCCGGATTCTTAGTGTCAATGGCAAGAATATTGTGAGTAAGCTAACACTTCTACATGCAGTTTTTGTTCAGGACCCTAGGATTGGAAGCTCTCCAGACAGTGTCATTCATCCCTGAAGTCCCAGACTCTTCTGTACATATGCTATTACTTACTTACTCCCTGTACTTGCCTGACACTGTGGCTAGTGCTTCTCTGGCAGAGGGTGAATTTGGTGTCCAGCCAAGTTACTGCTGAGAGGTTCAGCCATCATCTCTTTGCCCTCCACCTAGGGTCTGCTCAGAAGATGAGGGTCTGATTTTGTTGGGAGAGCTGGGGACAGGGAATGTTTTTTTTCGTGATTTGTGCATGTGTATATAGTCATACGTGTCTGTTGTATCTGTCTTTTCTCTGTCTCTCCCTATGTTTTCTCCCCACTTTTGCTGAACTTTCCTCAGAGCTTACTTGGCGATGGTCCCCTGCGGTTGTTGCTGCTGCCTTCTATCCACCTTGAAGCCTTGGATCTGCTCTCCTCGCTCATCCTCGCGTGAGTGGGGTTGGGCAGGATGTGAAGGGCCTGGGACATGCTGGAAATGAGTGTCACTGTTCCATCTCTGCCCCTAGGTGTGGAGGCCGGCTCTTACGCTTTGGGACCCTGATAAACCGTCTGCTTCCCCAGGTCCTCAATGTATGGAGCATTGGAAGGGACACCCTCTCTCCAGGCCAAGAGAGGCCTTACAGGTGACAAGCTAGGAAGGGGATAGAGAGGTGTGGATGAGGGCATGAAAGTAGTGCTGGGGTTTTGGCGCATGGACTCAGTTCATAACCTGCCCTCTTGACTCACTGCAGCACCATCCGGATCAAGGTATATGCAGTTTTAGAGCTGTGGGTGAAAGTCTGTGGGGCTTCAGCAGGTGTGCTTCAGGGAGGAGCCCCTGGAGAGGCTCTGCTCACCCATCTGCTTAGTGACATCTCCCCACCCACCGACACCCTTAAGGTGAGTGAGACATTGGCTCCTATCTTTGGTTCTTGTACGCTTGTATCATAATGTGAGTTATCACCAAACACTATCTTCTAACTCTGTTTGGCTTTCCTGCTCTCTTATGTATATGATATATATTTCCCTTTACTACCAGCTACGTAGTCCCCGGGGGAACTCTGATGGGGGTTTGCAGAGTGGGAAGCCCAGTGCTCCCAAGAAGCTAAAGCTGGATATGGGAGATGCAATGGCCCCTCCCAGCCATCGGAAAGGAGATAGCAATGCCAACAGTGACGTGTGTGCAGCTGCACTGAGAGGTGAGCGAGGCCTTGGACCCTTGGAGTTGTAGGATGGCATGGAGTGATAACTCAGAGCCACTTGGAGGAGGGTGTGCATCAAATGCAGAGGACAGAAGTAGCAAGGGCAAGAGCTGCTGGTGGAATTTTAGGTAGTGCTTTTAGACTGGGGTTTTGATGGTTTTCCCTACTGTGCACATGCACCTTCCTCCTCCCCTCAAGTCTCAGTTACCTCATTTACTCCCCAAGCACTTCATGTATGCACTATGTTTGCCAGGTACTTCTAACACTTGGGAAAAGCCCTTACCTGTGGAGCTCACAGGTAGAGTTCTGCAGGGACAGGCTGCCTGACAGCTTCCCTGCTTCTACTGCAACATAGTCTCTGAATAGAAGTTAGTAGTGTTAGTAGTACAGTTAATGGGTGATATGTATTCTACTCTCATGTACATAGAGGGACATATATAATATTGTACTTAAATATCTATGGTCCCCTTTGAGAAAGCAGACTGAGAGAAGGTAAGTGCCTTGCCCAGGCTAAGCAGTGGCAGAGCTGGGTCTTCCACTGGACTCTATTCTCCTGAAGTCTTTGTTTCATTCTGTCAGTAGCTTGCTTCTTCATTCAATGCCATTCTCTTCCCAGGTCTTAGCCGGACCATCCTCATGTGTGGGCCTCTAATCAAGGAGGAGACTCACAGGGTTAGTAGAGCCTGGTCTCCTTGGAACCTGGGGAGGGGGAGTTGCTCTGTGTATGTGGGAATCCATGTACCTCAGAGATGGCTCTGTGGAAACCTGGATGAGGTGCTGGAGAAGGGTTGAGCAGTCTTGGTGAAGTTTTTAGGTATGTTCTCTGTGCTTTTCAGAGACTGCATGATCTGGTCCTGCCGCTGCTCATGAGTCTCCAGCAGGGTGAGGTGCTGGGCAGCTCCCCTTACAACAGCTCTTGTTGCCGTCGTGAGCTCTACCGCCTACTGCTGGCCTTGCTGCTGGCCCCTTCCCCTCGCTGCCCACCTCCCCTTGCCTGTGCCCTGCAAGCTTTCTCCTTTGGCCAGCAAGAAGACAGCCTTGAGGTAACTGAGGCAAATTCTTCTTAGATTCCCTTGTTCTCATGCTAGCCCTGTGAGATTCTGTGTTCTTGATGCTCATTCCTGGCCCTTCTTGTTTTCCTCAGGTCTCCTCTTTCTGTTCAGAAGCATTGGTGACTTGCGCTGCTCTGACCCACCCTCGTGTTCCTCCCTTGCAGACCATGGGCCCCACTTGCCCCACATCTGCCCCAGTTCCCCCTCCTGAGGCCCCATCTTCATTTAGGGCCCCACCCTTCCATCCCCCAGGCCCTATGCCCTCTGTAGGCCCCATGCCCACTCCAGGCCCCATATCCTCAGCTGGCCCATTGCCCTCTGCAGGCCCCATGCCCTCAGCAGGTCCAGTGTCCTCCACAGGCCCCATTCCTTCTGCAGGCCCTCTGCCCTCTGCAGGTCCCATGCCTTCCACACGCCCTGGACCTCCAGCTACAACCAACCACCTAGGCCTCTCTGTCCCGGGCCTGGTCTCTGTCCCTCCCCGGCTCCTTCCTGGCCCTGAGAACCACCGTGCAGGTCCCAGTGAGGATCCTGTCCTTGCCTCCAGTGGGACTCCTCCACCTACCATACCCCCAGATGAAACTTTTGGGGGACGAGTGCCCAGACCAGCCTTCGTTCACTATGATAAGGAGGAGGCGTCAGATGTAGAAATTTCATTAGAAAGTGACTCTGATGACAGTGTGGTGATTGTGCCTGAGGGCCTTCCACCCCTACCACCACCACCTCCCACAAGTACCCCTCCTCCCTCTGTGGCCCCCACTGGGCCACCAGCAGCCTCTCCTCCTGTACCAGCCAAAGAGGAGCCTGAGGAACTTTCTGCAACCCCAGGGTCTCTCCCTCCCCCTCCCCCTCCCCCTCCTCCCCCTATTGCTGGTTCTGCAACACTTCCACCACCTCAGCTAGTCCCTGAAGGAGCTCCTGGAGGCGGAGGACCTCCAGCCCTGGAAGAAGATCTGACAGTGATAAATATCAACAGCAGTGATGAAGAGGAGGAGGAAGAGGAAGAAGAGGAGGAAGAAGAAGATGATGATGAGGAGGAGGACTTTGAGGAAGAAGATGATGATGAAGAAGAGTATTTTGAAGAGGAAGAAGAGGAGGAAGAGTTTGAGGAAGAATTTGAGGAAGAAGAGGGTGAATTAGAGGAAGAAGAGGAAGAGGAGGAGGAAGAGGAGGAAGAAGAGTTGGAAGAGGTAGAAGACTTGGAGTTTGGCCCAGCAGGAGGGGAGGTAGAAGAAGGTGGACCTCCACCCCCAACCCTGCCTCCAGCTCTCCCTCCTCCAGAGTCCCCCAAAGTGCAGCCTGAGCCAGAACCTGAACCTGGGCTGCTGTTAGAAGTGGAGGAACCAGGGACAGAGGAGGAACCTGGGGCTGAGACAGCACCCACCCTGGATCCAGAGGTGCTCCCGTCCCAGGGGGAGGTGGAAGAAGGGGGAAGTCCCACAGTAGGGCCACCTCCTCAGGAGCTTGTTGAAGAACCCTCTGCACATCCACCCCTGTTGGAAGAGGAGACTGAGGGTGGGAGTGACAAGGTGCCACCCCCACCAGAGACATCTGAAGTAGAAGAAGAGATGGAGACAGAGGCAGAGACTGCAGCTCTCCAGGAAAAGGTGAGTCAGCCAGGTAGGGTGGGCACCTGTGGGGTGGTGCTGGTGGGAGAAGGGTACTTCTACTAGTGTAAAGGAAGAGGTTTGCCCCAGCCTGATCCATCTTCTGTATATGTGTGACTGTTTTGAATCCTGTGTCTTTGTCCCTAAAAGGAGCAGGATGACACAGCTGCCATGCTGGCTGACTTCATTGATTGTCCCCCTGATGATGAGAAGCCACCGCCTACCATGGAGTCTGACTCCTAGCCCTCTTCTGCACTTCCACCACCTTCTTCCCAATAAAGTTATGTTCTTATTCATGCTGCTTCTGGTTCTTGCCACACCTTGTCTGTAGCCAGGAACCTTGGTGTCTCCTGGGGTTTGCAAGGTATCCATAGTCTCCACATATCCCTAACAGCTGGTCAGTTCTCATTGCCTGAAGGAGGAGCCACTAACTTTAAGGAATAAGTTAGTGTTGGAATTATAGAAATCTTGCCCTCTGCTCTTTCTAACGAGGGTTGCTCTGTAAGACTAAGCAATTTGTGTGTTGCCTTGCTTTTGATTAAGGACTAAGAAAAAGAGATTAACAGGGCTACTGATGGAACTTGTATAGACACAAATGGGTGCACATCAGTGTATAATCCCTTGGTCTGAAGAGCAGCCTGAGTGACTGTGATGAAGTTTAGTTATGAATTCTGTGTAATTTGAACTTTGGACCACACCCAAAGAGATCATCACAGACTGAGGATGAGCTCTATTCTAGGGCTGTCCTAATTATGGCATCCAACTCTTTCCCAGCTCCTCCTTAGCAGGAATTTGGTTAAGTCCACCCCAAATCCTACTCACTTTTTAAGACCTGAATATTTCTCCACCAATGTGAAGTACACACAGACAAACACACATTATATATAATTCCCATATAGACATGTAGAACTATAGATCCCCATATTAATATATATTATATATAAAGACATACATATTATATAGTATATATTGTATATAATTTCTGGGCTTGAACTCAGGATCTGGGACTTGTCCCTGAGCTTTTTGTTTTGTTTGTTTTGCTCAAGGGTAGTGCTCAAGGGTAGACATTTACACTACAATTTGAGTCATGCCCCTATCTGCAAATGTTTCTGTTTAGTATTAAAATTTCAGTGTTTTGGGCTGGGAAGGTGGCTCAGTGGTAGAGTGCTTGCCTTGCATGCATGAGGCCCTGTGTTCAATTCCTCAGCACCACATAAGCAGAAAAACCTGAAAGTGGCGCTGTGGCTCAAGTGGTAGAGTGCTGGCCTTGAGTTGAAGAGCTGAGGGACAGCGCCCAGGCCCAGAATTCAGGCCCCGTGACCGACCCCCCCCCAAAAAAAACAATTCAGTGTTTTTCCCCTCCTGAGTCAAGTTCAAAACGTACTTTTTATTAGGTGGAGAAGGTTTTGAAGACTTAAAAATCCTTGCTGTCAGGTCAGTGGTGCAGAAGTGTAAAAACTTTTCAAGTAGAAATTTTTCAGAAAGGGAAAGAATCTAATTTCTGGAAACCATAGAGAGGTAAAGTTGACATTGACCTTAAAGAATCTAGAACAAATATTCCAAGGTAAATTTTATTTTGTACTGATAATACATTCATGTGGTTTAGAATTCAAGGTTTGTTTAAAAGTTATAACCCCTGTTTCCTAGGCACTCAAACTTTTCTCCCTGAAGCAGCCAGTAATGATCAGTGTTTTTATATGTTATTTCTAGAGGTACTGTGCATATACAAATGAATTATAAATATACAAATGCATGCATATATAATACATATTTACATCTCTTTTTACACAAATGATAGTATATTTCCTCATGTCATAGAAATCAATTTCACTGTTGTAGTGGTTTACTCAGCCAGTAGTACTATGCATAATATTGGTTATTTACTAAACATTAACATTTTTGAAATAATTACTGATCCAAGTGGGTTTGCAAAGATGGGAGAGATTGAGGAGATGATAAAATGTATGTTACCCAGTTTTCCCCAGTGATTAATTTGGTCACAGGTCAAAACCAGCTATTTGATGTTACAGTGATGGACACTTTTTAATTTGGAGCAATGAATGAAATGGGCAAAAACAAAAAAATAAAAACCATCTTTGCAGCCTGGGCAGGGAAGTCTGAGACTCCCATCTCCAGTAAGTTACTCAGAAACAGTTGTAAGTGGTGCTGTGGTTCAAATGGTAGAGAGCTAGCCTTGAGCAAAAGAAGCCCAGGAATAGAGCCCAGGCTGAGTTCAAACCCCAGGCCTCCCCCTTCCCCAAATATCTAGATGTTTTGAGGGTCATTAGTAAAAGATGAGTTAAATTGTGATGAGTGCAATGGGAAAAAGCAAGGAAGGTGAGTGATAGGTTTGTATGGCTATGTCTTTTTCACATACTGATAAAAAGTTTCAAACAAGTTTAATTGTGGAGGATAGTATGTCCATTGTGTTAGTACTTTTGTGTATTAATTCTTTATTAGGGAACAGGGTCTTTAAGGCTCACCTCAGTTATAATGCAGCCCAGGCTGGCCTTAAATTCAGGATTCTCCTTCAGTTTCTAGTGCTTGGTTCACAGGTATGTGCTGCCCCCACCTGGCTCTTGCATACGTAATTGTAAGAAGCTCTCATTGAAGTTAAGAGCAGCGTAGAATTCTGGGGAGTTTTCTAGGAGTGTACTTTGGTGGCAAGTACAGAGATCCTAAAAGGAAGTCTTGCTGTTTTCAAGGGGACCAGGGAGTTTGTAAAAGGGCGGATGGGGGGAAGAACGGATGAAGTGGGAGTGGGATGAGGCTGTGTGGCTTCTACTTAGGGTGAGGTTGGAAGCTACTGGAGGATTTTAAGCAGATAACTGACATGCTTACTGTCTGAAAAATGGCTGGAGGGGCTGGGAAGGTGGCTCAGTCGTAGAGCGCTTGCCTTGTATGCCTGAGGCCCTGGGTTCGATTCCTCAGCACCACATAAGCAAAAAGAAAAAAGCCGGAAGTGGCTCTGTGGCTCAAGTGGTAGAGCTCTAGCCTTGAGCTGAAGAGCTGAGAGACAGCGCCCAGGCCCAGTGTTCAGGCCCCATGACCAGACCCCCCCCCCAAAAAAAAAGAAAAGAAGAAAAATGGCTGGAGTAGAAATAACTTGTGAAGGTGGAATTGATAGAAAGTTGAAAATCTGTTTTAGTTCATACAGGTCTTCTTCATCTTCTTAGCTGATTAGAATTTAAAGTCACCAGCCTCTTTTTTTAAGCTGATTCTCTTGCTGCAAATAGATGAGTACACGTACACACAAGATATGTGTACATGCCATTTTTTCACTTAAGTATTTGTCTAATAAAGTTTTAGAAATAAGAGTTGCTGAGTCTACCTTAGCTGTTGTGCAATTTTTGTTGCCATTCAAATATTTCTCCAAACCCTTAGTCTTTGCTATTATGCTAAAAGGCAGAAAGATATGTGTTTTTGAACCTTTTTGTTTCTTGCTTTGTAGTTCTTGATAGATTAGGAAACTTTAGGCTTTTATCTATAATAGAGTTGCAAACCCCCCTCCCCGTTTGTCTTTTGACTGCTTTTAGTGAATTTTTTGCCATGCTGAATATATATATATATATATATATATATATATATATATATATATATATATATATATATATATATAATGCTGAAACCTGTGCATTTCCAGCAATGCCTTCCATCTAGAACTACATGTCCCCAGCCCTAAACATTTATTTATTGGTTTTACTGGGGTTCAAACAGGGTCTTGCGCTTGCTTGGTAAGCCGTCAAGCTGCACTGTCACCTCTGAGTTTTTTTACTTTTATTAGTTGGATCAGTCTTTTTTTGGGGGGGGTCTGGTTGTGGGGCCTGATCTCTGGGCCTGGGCGCTGTCCCTCAGCTCTTCAGCTCAATGCTAGCGCTCTACCACTTGAGCCACAGCACCACTTCTGGCTTTTTTCTTTTTGCTTATGTGGTGCTGGGGAATCGAACGCAGGGCCTCACGCATGCAAGGCAAGTGCTCTACCACTGAGCCACCTTCCCAGCCCCATGGGCTTTTTGCTTGTTAATTGGAGATTGAAGGGCCTCATGGATCTTACTGTCTGAAATGGTTTGGAACCAAGATCCTTGAATCTCAGCCTCTTGAGAAGGATTACAGGCATGAATCATCAGCATCCAGAGTCAACTTTACCATTTTCTCCAAATACCATTTTGTTCTTGTTCTTGTTGGTTGTGGGGCTTGAACCCAACCTGAGTGCTGTCCCTTAGCTTTTCTGCTTAAGGCTAGCACTCTACCACTTTGAGCCACAGAACCACTTCCATTTTTCTGGTGGTTAATTGGAGATAAGAGTCTCATGGAGTTTCCTGCCTGGGCTGGCTTTGAACAGCGATCCTCAGATCTCAGCCTCCTGAGTAGCTAGAATTACAGGAATGAGCCACTGGCTCCTAGCTTGATGTTTATTTCTTTTTCTATTGATCTGCCTGTATAACCATATTTATTGTGGTTCTGTTATATTCTAATATAGTAGAATTAGTAGTAGAAATAGGTTATTAATATATGTTTTGTCTTGATTTATGGAGGGAAAACTTGGTAAAACCTAGAATGAGACTGCAATTCAGAACTGGGTTTGTCAGATTAGTTTGAGATTTCTGGTTTGGAAGTGAGGGAAATAAGGACAGCATATGGCCCTCAGCAAGCCCTCAGTCTTTCATATTGTTTTTGTGGTCTGAGTAGTAAATGAGCACTTAGTATTCATCCCAAGACAAACTAGGCTTGTTCTAGAGAAGGCTTCTTGACTGTCCTGAGTTTGGGTCAAGATCATTTTTTGTTGTTGTTTTGTGTGTGTGGTTGTTTGTTTCATTTGTTTTTCATCTGTCGTGGGTCTTGAACTCTGGGCCTGGGCACTGGCCTTGAGCGACTGCTCTCCCACTTGAGCCACAACGCCACTTCCAGTTTTCTGGTGATAAATTGGAGATAAGAGTCTCACAGACTGCAATCCTCCGATCTCAGCCTCCTGAGTAGCTAGGATTACAGGTGTGAGCCACCGGTGCCCAGCTAAGATCACTGTTAAACTATTAAAAGCAGCTCGATGGGGAAGAATGATTAAAGGAGCGATACTAATCAAGTTGAATTGTACTTATAAACTGATATGTTGAGTGGTAATTCCTTTGCGCTTCTGGTTAAAGATAATCAAAAGGTAATTTAAAAAAGTCCGGTGATTGTAAAGCTCTTCATTCAATTTTTATGAGACACAAAGTGTGAAGTTAGTTTGAAATTACTTGACAAGCACTTTTTAAAAGTTGCATAAGTTTGGAGGTGGAAGTACTCTTACTCTCAGGTA